ATATATTTTCACCACCTAACACTTCTAAGTGTTAAAATATGAGGCTTTATCGTTATTTTTCGAAATAATAAAGATTTATTTTCACAATAGACTTTTCCGTACAACTTATATACCTATCCGATTTATATTTTGGCAATCGAGTTTGAGTGACGTAAATTGGATACAGCTAGATATATAACTTTATTTCCAATAAAAGAATGCATTATCGAGTGTTTTTTATTGCAACGTAACAAAAAAAACCACTTCAATATATCATATAAGATTATGTGCCTCGTCCTTGATAAGGATACTTTAATCAAAGATATACGACACAAAGGTTAAAATATTGCAAAAAATACAAATTTCTGAAGAGTTTTCACACCTTGTTTTTTAATTCGTTAGCTGAAATATGTATCGAGAAGCGACCCACTCCAGATTAAAATAAAATTTAAAAATTACCATCCTCACGTATCAGGTTTTAAGTTTACTCAATTGCATTTTTTCCCGGGAGGAAAACTTTCCATCCACTTTTTTTTTCATTCCAAAACATTGCTCGGAAGAAATCGATAATATGTTTTAGTTCGCTTTTCTTCACCATCGCGACGACCTTATCCTTTGCATCGGGGTTTTAATGTAAGTTTCTGATAGATGGTTCTCTGATGACAATGCTCTTTCATCCAGATATATTTCCAGATTTCACTCCTTTTTTCTTTATTTATATTTTATATTTTTAAAAAACGGTGATAATAACAGTGTCAATGGAGGTTATTCATAATCTTGTAGAAGATTATATAAATAATTTATTGCATATCACATTGTAGAGGATGTTAAAGAATTTTAATGTCTTTCTTTTCAGTATTATATTTTAGAAAATAAAATAGGGAAAAATCGTTTAGATATTCATTCTATCAAAATAAATTTCGTGTATCGATTTTAGTGACGAATGGTCTTAGGTTTTGTGGGTCCTATTATATGGGTAACGGGGTTTAGGAGAAGTGGTTCTTGTCACATCACCATTTTCTCCTATGTCTGTGACTGATGTTTACTCGGCCGATTGAACTTGTATTCAACAGAAAAAGTCGTCGTTTACAATGCTCAAGATAACTCTCTACGTTTTATTCCTTATTCTTCTTGCTTTTTTTTATGTTTAATTGTAAAATAAGATTGATTTACATATTTCTTACAAAAATCAAATAAAAAAATCATAATAAAATAACATCTGATAAAATTTACCTTAATTATAATTAAAATAAATTAGTTTGGTTTAAAATATGAACTCTGTTCTAATTAAAAATAATTAAATTTCAAACAATTCTCGAGAGGAGTATCTGTGTTTGAAATTTATTTAGTTTTAATTAAAATTGAGCATTTGAATATGTTGAATCTGAAAATTATCCTGAAAATTTTTCATCTCAAATAATTTTCAAAATGAATCTTGAAACTCGTTTAAAATAAAGGTGATTGCCGTTCAACGGGCGTTAACAGGGCTTTCTTTTCCAGTTCAAACTGTGGCCCAATAAATTGGCCAGGCCTCTAATTGGGGAACGTCCATGAAAATTCAATATACTTAAATTTGATCAGAATTAGATGAAAAGGTGTAGAAAACTCAAAATACTTAAGAACACTTTAAACATTTAGAATACAATATAAAAAATGACCCAAAAGTCATGTTATAAATGAGACTCGATGTCTGTTCTCTAATTATGACTAAAAATATATTTCAATTGAACTAGTTTTAGTTGGTTTAGTTAAAAAAATACGTGCTCAATTGTAATTAAGATTAATAATAATTAATTATCATCAAATTTTTTGATATCGAAATTCCATTTATAATATTCTTTTTAATTATTTTAATTAAGCTGTAGAGAAATATTTTTGATTTCTTTATAGTTTCATCTTAATTAAATTCCTTTACCTACATTTCTATGCCTGAAGTGATCGGCATTTAAGAGCTAATTAAATATAATACGGTCGATGTTATGCTTCGATAATCGAAGAGATTAATTGTATTTACCATTCCACAAATTATATTTGTTAAGATAATTCGAACCTGAATTTAAAACAAAAAATAAAATAATATACTCTGAAAATCGATAAGCGCTCTTCCTGTTATCTATTCGTATGTCCTCGACCAATATGTTGTGTAAATTGTCCGCTAGGAAAAAAATTCCAGCAACGAGCTGCTTAACTTTCCCGGCAACATTTAAAACTTTGTGTGTGGCGCCATCTGTTATGATATTTTTTTTATTAAAAATCTTTCATATTTTTAATTATTATAAAGTGGCAAAAAGCTTAATTTTGAGGGTAGGATGGGTTTTATAAAATATTGTAAATGCTAATAACGAGTAAATCGTCATTAAGTCCGACCCTACTCCAGATATGACACAACACTGTATCTTTTCACCCCATCGACCTTTAACTACCAAAATTTAATAGCATTAATCTCCCTAATAAAGAGATATCCCTGCAAACTTTTAGAAATTTTAGACAAAAAGCACAGGAGTTATTAAGCTTCAAAGAAGGTAACAAAATCGTGCCTCCCCACACACATCCATACATATAGAAATTACCCCGAACTTTGTTTGCAATTCTGGAAGTTTTAAGGTGTTCTAAGTCCAATAGTGTAAAAATCTTCGGGGGGTCATTTTTTTGACCGATCGCCACACTTTTCCTCATATATAACAGCCGGGAAAGTAAAAATCGGACATTTTACCTCGTAGAGATTTAATATGTTCTAATCAAAAGTGAACGACACTCAGAAACACCTAGAATGACATTATCAATATACAGGACAACCAAAAAATCAGTTAACTGTGTTAATTATAAAATTTAAAAATATACTTTGCTCTAAATTTATATTCACCTGTAATACACAAAACGGTTAACTTTTTTGGGGGTCACTGAATGTTTTCTTGATGTCAGAAATTTTTCCTTTTCATTTTTTTCTTTTTGTAAAAGGTCTTGTCTTGTTTTTAAATGATTTCAGCAGTTATATCGATTTGTTTAGATATCATTTCGAAATGTACTCAATAGCATCTTTCTAGTTGACAAGAAATATCAAAAGTTTCAAAAATTAGTGGATAAAAAATTATATGTTATTTCTTTGTAAACAGTTCGCTTAAAGTATTGAATGACAGTAGGAAAGTTTTGTAAACTTTCTAAACGTCCATCACGTGTCATATTAAACTTAAAATAAATAAATGATGATAATTTAAAATTTCAAGTAGAAATAATCGCGCAAATCAAACGTCTGAACAACGACCACTGACGGAAACATAATCTCCAAATAAAGGCCATTCGTTATTTCTTATGCAGTTTTGTTGGCTGCTATTTACAGGTGAGCCGTTATTGCAGATTCGACTGTACATAAAAATTTTCTTCCAGTCTTATTATCTTAGAAAATTACTATATCAAAACGGATAATTATTTAAAAGTATTTTTATATATCATTTCTAAAACAATTTTTATTGAATTTTATGGTTAATGCATGCTCTTGTAACGAAATTATTGTATTAAAAATATTTATGGCCAAAATTGTTAATGTTAATTTTTACACCAGAACAGAGTGAACATTGACAGCATGTATTCGATAACTGGAATTTTACTTAATTGTAGAGTTTAGATTTTACGAGGCCTTAACGTACCATTAAATGTCCACACGTACTGTACAGGTTGATCCACTTTGCCCTCAACTTCAATCTCAACGTTTGACACCACGCTTTGATGAATTTCGCACTCAATAGATAACTCGAGTTTTTACAAAATCTTTGAATTGATTTGGTACACTTTATCCTCTTTTCATAGCCACAAAAAGAAGTTCGCAGAATATGCAGACTAGTCAAAAGCTCTTCAATACGTTGTAATATAAATGGCTTCAAATGCTGTTCTGAATGGTATTTGGGTAAGGTTATTATAAATGAAGAACGAAATATACAAAAGCATTAAGCTTGGTCATTCCATATTTGTCAAGTCAATCTGATTCCAACGTAGAAAATCTAATTGATTGGGTTTGATGGTATACGACAACTCAACACATTGGCGATCTGCCAAGGGAGATACTATCCAAAAGAACTTTCCGTGAGAAATTGGCCTCTATTTAGGTGTTAGACACGCGAATAAAATCCGGAAAACTCGTATGTGGTCAATCCGTTGATGAGGCGCGAACCCGCGACCTGTGTTTGGTGGTTTTATTCACTCGGCCACTGGTAGGTGCCCCAACATAGAAAATTTAGATATGAAATAAATATATTCAGAAATGCATAATGCATAATTTACCAGATATGGTCTATTGTAATATATTTCTCGGCTCGGAATTCTAATTTTGGTATGTGGCATATAATGATAAATTGGAGCATGGTAGATATACACGCAGCTAGATACAGCTTGTTAATTTATGATTTAATATAATTTGTTTTTCAAAATTAATTTAATTCTATTTTAAAAAAAAACTAATAAAAATATTTCTACCTNTTTACATGTTTGTGAGGTGCGAACCCACAGCTAGTATCAGTATTCAATGATTTTATCCATTCTTCTACTGGTGGGCGAATTTAAGTAGTACCCAAGTTGAGAAACATATTATTTTGAAGATAAGGTTCAATTTTCATATTTTATTTTAGTTATATTTATTTTGTTCCAACTAATAAGTCTGAACAGTTGCGGTTATTAATTTACTTCAATATACTGCAGTTTGCTTATTGTAATTGTGAGAAATAATATTTTCAAATCTTGTATACTTTGTTTTATTATACTGTACTTACTTTCCTCAGTAATTTGGGCACTACGGTCATAGTATCCAAATGATGCTGCTGATCCTCTATAATCCTTTAACTGAACATCAGCAGCGTCATTTGCCACGGACTTCACATTTACGAGAACTCAAAGATTTGTTACAAGTTATACCATTCACTTTCTTAAAAAAAAAACTTTTATAATTTAAAAAATTTATTGTATATTTTAAACTCTAATTTTTTTAATATATTGGGGTGTAATAAAAGTAAATGGCCTACCTTTTACCTTTAGGTTTCTCTCGATCTCTGGGATTGGATAAAATTGGATTAATGGGATAAGGCAACGTAATACATGGGCAATCTGCATTTGGGGAGAACTTTCTATGGAAAACGGTCTCTAACTGCTAGACACGAATAAAACCAGACCCACAGGACCAACCTAATAGTGAGGTACGAACCCACCACCAGTGTCCGGTGCTTTTAACTATTCGGATACTGGTGGACTTCGGTCTCTAGGAAACCCTATATTATATATTTCATAATTTATTTCATTGAAGTCTACAGTTTACAATCATTTAAATAATATTTAAAATGATAATTATTCATTCAAAAAATAAATATTTTAATATTAAAACATATTTTTAAAGCTTTATCTATAAGAATATATATTTTAATTCTTTCGAGAGTAAATTATTACTTACTTTTTTCTGTTTTAAAGCAATAAATCGATTTTTTTTCGTTTTCTGCTTCATTTTATTTTTCTTATCATCTCGACAAGGAACTGTTTCCTGGAAGAGGAAATCTAAGGTTACGTTGAATGGACCATAGTTATCCCCTTAAAACATTAATCTTAAAAGAAAGTTGTTTTCTACTCGGAAAAATAATGCTTAGTTTTTCTTGAGTGTTTTGGTTTACTGAAAATAGTTTTATAAATAATTGATCTTTAAATAGAAACAATTCTTCATTTTTAAACGTTTTTTTTTAACATAAAAAAATAATATAACGTTATAAAATAAAGAGATATATAAAAATATGAAGATTTCAAGCAGTCTTTAGCAAGTTTTCAATCTGCAAGCTTTAATTAACATAATTTAAACGACAATAGGATTTTTTACATGTAAACATACATTTTAGTTATAAAATTATGTCATATTACTTATTAAATTTTGAAATTTATGTTTATTTTCTTTAAAAAAGAATATATATATATATTTGATGTAAAGGTGAACTCTGACTTTATGGATCAAGTTTCTTTTTCACTTGCAATAATTCCATTCATTCAGTCTCACATGCACTTGGAAAATCAATTTTTATTTATTTTTCTCACATATAAATTTATTTTTAGAAAGAGAATAAAATATTTAGTTGTTTAAATATATTTTTACATGTTTTGTTTTTTAATTTATGCATTAAATATAATTTTCTTCACAAAAAGTAATTCTTGGTGGTGTTTTGTAACATTGGCACTGATTGAATCGCTGGAATAATTTTGATGTTTGCTTGTGATATAAATTTATAAGATCCTTACATTAAATTTAATTATTTAATTACGTTTGTGTATAAAAATAGGATCAATACATTACTTAAGAAAAATAATTTCATTAATTCGATTTTAATGAACTTTATCAGAATTAATGCTTGGAAAGGCACATCATTTCGTTTTTACATCTTTGAATTATTAAATACAAAAAAAAAACAGTGTTTAAAAATTTCGTTGAAAATCGCATATTATTAAATTAAGTTTTATTTTCGTATTGTGTTAATGGAAGCGCAGCTTTAATTCAAAATGTCGACTATCGAAAGTGACGAGATGTGTGTGATGTATACATTATGGAAAGGTTAAACTATACGAATCTATATTGATTTTTGTTGTAAACTTTTTTCCTGTATAACATGGTTTAAAAGGTTAGCTCATTGGTTTTCATGCTTTTGAGTGGTGCTTTTTGGATTCACTTTCTTCAAAGATGCTTTTCCTATCTACTTTCCGGCTAATATTTCATTTTTATATTACAAGAAATTGCACTTTTGCGAGAAAAAAACTTTTTTTTTACTCTCTCTCTCTCTCTCTCTCTCTCTATATATATATATATATATATATGTGTGTGTGTGTGTGTGTGGTGTGTATATATATATATATACACACACATATACACAGATATAGATAGATAGGACCGTTAAGAGCTTCTATGGGAAGCAGGATAGATCGGCCCAATTTTACTATTTTTTATTGTTGTTTTTGAACAAATGAAAAATTAAGAATGCTTTTTATTAATAAAGGAACGCAAAAATTTTATGTTTTCGTTAGTAAACGTATCATTAATTTTATAGGGATAGAAGCCATCGCAGGCCCTTACGTTTACTTCCAGGTCCAGAAAATATTCCATCTCCCCTCTCTTCAATAACAGACCATCGCACAGGCGCAAGAAGTGCGCTCTTGAAGCCTTCTAAAACAGAGACATTCTGCAAACCTCAGGCACAGATACTATCCTCATCTATACATTTATTTTTAAGGAAACGATTGATTGATCAATATTTTTTAAATTATGTAATAAATCGATTTGATAGCATTACTCAGTATTTAGAACAAGGGTCCTCAAAACTATGTTGCGCTTGGGGTCTTCCCAAGGGGCTGATCCGCCACTGTCTCTCTCGACGGCATATGTATTATATCTATGTCTATTGTTTATAATCATTCCAAATAATATATTTTTATGTTCAATTTAGTAGTTTGGATTTATTAAAAGGTCAGAGTTCATAATACAGTTTTATTTATAAAGAATACAGTTTAAATTAACGATAACATTTCAAATATTGTGAAAAACAAAACTTGATAAAAGAAAAAACAAAATGTCTTTCTCTTAAAAATATAAAAATTGGAAAAAATCTATTTTTCAATTTGAAAATAAATTTAAAAACATATAAATTCAATTTTTTAAAAAAATGATAAGAAAACGTGAATTTTCTTCATCTTATCTTTAATACTTTATACTTTTATAATTAAAAAATGTCTCTTCTAATCCATTTGTAATTTAAGTAAACAACATTTATACTAGCTTTTAATGAATTAATATAAAAGTATAATTTTTTAATTACTTTTTAGTAAATGAGGTCAAGTAAATTAAGGTTAATAAAGCAAAGGTGAGGTTGAGTGAGGACGTATTAACAATTGATTCATTTATTCTATGTACTCTACAATTTGATTTTTAATAAATTTAGATATATAAAAAAAAAGTTTAAAAAAACGAAAAATTGTAATTATTATATATTTGAGATCAACGTAAAATATTCTCACGTAGGTTTTATGCAAATGAGTTTCGCATGACGTGTAATCACGCTTTAAAAAAGGAAAGTTTTGTTACAGTAATCATCAGGGAACGTTATCTTCCGGACATGGCAGTAGATAAGAGCAGAGTCAGCGATCGGTTAATCGCTTCCGGATAGCTTTTTACTCACAGGTGTCAACCTCGGCATCGATTACCCAGTTCTAGTTTTAGTTATATAAAAGGTATCGATAATCGATTCCATACTCTGGGCCACGAGGATTTTTAAAAACCCTTCAGGCCGCAATAGGAATGATGGATTACTCACGACTGGTCGTGACACGTAAACAACGTCCGGGGGACAAGTTGTCACGTCCTCTGATCGATTGCCACCTTCAGCAACCGACGAAAAACAAAGTGTAAAAGCCATTTGTGGCCTGTTTTCTTCTGACTACGTAATGACCCCCCTATCTTGGATTAGTTAGTCGCGATTTTTGTCGATAAGAAATCGGTTCCTGTTGATCTTTGCCGTCATCTATACGACTTCCCGAATACGTCAACAAGTACCTGTAGGCGGAGGAAATTTTTCTTCTCTCTCCTTTCCGTGAGAGAAGAATCCATAAATGCCACTGCCAATTTTCTTTGCTGCATTTCCAATGTAATCTTGTTGCATGAAAGACTTGATCCCCATAGCAGAAAATTGGAGCAAACAGAATATATTTTCACCACCTAACACTTCTAAGTGTTAAAATATGAGGCTTTATCGTTATTTTTCGAAATAATAAAGATTTATTTTCACAATAGACTTTTCCGTACAACTTATATACCTATCCGATTTATATTTTGGCAATCGAGTTTGAGTGACGTAAATTGGATACAGCTAGATATATAACTTTATTTCCAATAAAAGAATGCATTATCGAGTGTTTTTTATTGCAACGTAACAAAAAAAACCACTTCAATATATCATATAAGATTATGTGCCTCGTCCTTGATAAGGATACTTTAATCAAAGATATACGACACAAAGGTTAAAATATTGCAAAAAATACAAATTTCTGAAGAGTTTTCACACCTTGTTTTTTAATTCGTTAGCTGAAATATGTATCGAGAAGCGACCCACTCCAGATTAAAATAAAATTTAAAAATTACCATCCTCACGTATCAGGTTTTAAGTTTACTCAATTGCATTTTTTCCCGGGAGGAAAACTTTCCATCCACTTTTTTTTTCATTCCAAAACATTGCTCGGAAGAAATCGATAATATGTTTTAGTTCGCTTTTCTTCACCATCGCGACGACCTTATCCTTTGCATCGGGGTTTTAATGTAAGTTTCTGATAGATGGTTCTCTGATGACAATGCTCTTTCATCCAGATATATTTCCAGATTTCACTCCTTTTTTCTTTATTTATATTTTATATTTTTAAAAAACGGTGATAATAACAGTGTCAATGGAGGTTATTCATAATCTTGTAGAAGATTATATAAATAATTTATTGCATATCACATTGTAGAGGATGTTAAAGAATTTTAATGTCTTTCTTTTCAGTATTATATTTTAGAAAATAAAATAGGGAAAAATCGTTTAGATATTCATTCTATCAAAATAAATTTCGTGTATCGATTTTAGTGACGAATGGTCTTAGGTTTTGTGGGTCCTATTATATGGGTAACGGGGTTTAGGAGAAGTGGTTCTTGTCACATCACCATTTTCTCCTATGTCTGTGACTGATGTTTACTCGGCCGATTGAACTTGTATTCAACAGAAAAAGTCGTCGTTTACAATGCTCAAGATAACTCTCTACGTTTTATTCCTTATTCTTCTTGCTTTTTTTTATGTTTAATTGTAAAATAAGATTGATTTACATATTTCTTACAAAAATCAAATAAAAAAATCATAATAAAATAACATCTGATAAAATTTACCTTAATTATAATTAAAATAAATTAGTTTGGTTTAAAATATGAACTCTGTTCTAATTAAAAATAATTAAATTTCAAACAATTCTCGAGAGGAGTATCTGTGTTTGAAATTTATTTAGTTTTAATTAAAATTGAGCATTTGAATATGTTGAATCTGAAAATTATCCTGAAAATTTTTCATCTCAAATAATTTTCAAAATGAATCTTGAAACTCGTTTAAAATAAAGGTGATTGCCGTTCAACGGGCGTTAACAGGGCTTTCTTTTCCAGTTCAAACTGTGGCCCAATAAATTGGCCAGGCCTCTAATTGGGGAACGTCCATGAAAATTCAATATACTTAAATTTGATCAGAATTAGATGAAAAGGTGTAGAAAACTCAAAATACTTAAGAACACTTTAAACATTTAGAATACAATATAAAAAATGACCCAAAAGTCATGTTATAAATGAGACTCGATGTCTGTTCTCTAATTATGACTAAAAATATATTTCAATTGAACTAGTTTTAGTTGGTTTAGTTAAAAAAATACGTGCTCAATTGTAATTAAGATTAATAATAATTAATTATCATCAAATTTTTTGATATCGAAATTCCATTTATAATATTCTTTTTAATTATTTTAATTAAGCTGTAGAGAAATATTTTTGATTTCTTTATAGTTTCATCTTAATTAAATTCCTTTACCTACATTTCTATGCCTGAAGTGATCGGCATTTAAGAGCTAATTAAATATAATACGGTCGATGTTATGCTTCGATAATCGAAGAGATTAATTGTATTTACCATTCCACAAATTATATTTGTTAAGATAATTCGAACCTGAATTTAAAACAAAAAATAAAATAATATACTCTGAAAATCGATAAGCGCTCTTCCTGTTATCTATTCGTATGTCCTCGACCAATATGTTGTGTAAATTGTCCGCTAGGAAAAAAATTCCAGCAACGAGCTGCTTAACTTTCCCGGCAACATTTAAAACTTTGTGTGTGGCGCCATCTGTTATGATATTTTTTTTATTAAAAATCTTTCATATTTTTAATTATTATAAAGTGGCAAAAAGCTTAATTTTGAGGGTAGGATGGGTTTTATAAAATATTGTAAATGCTAATAACGAGTAAATCGTCATTAAGTCCGACCCTACTCCAGATATGACACAACACTGTATCTTTTCACCCCATCGACCTTTAACTACCAAAATTTAATAGCATTAATCTCCCTAATAAAGAGATATCCCTGCAAACTTTTAGAAATTTTAGACAAAAAGCACAGGAGTTATTAAGCTTCAAAGAAGGTAACAAAATCGTGCCTCCCCACACACATCCATACATATAGAAATTACCCCGAACTTTGTTTGCAATTCTGGAAGTTTTAAGGTGTTCTAAGTCCAATAGTGTAAAAATCTTCGGGGGGTCATTTTTTTGACCGATCGCCACACTTTTCCTCATATATAACAGCCGGGAAAGTAAAAATCGGACATTTTACCTCGTAGAGATTTAATATGTTCTAATCAAAAGTGAACGACACTCAGAAACACCTAGAATGACATTATCAATATACAGGACAACCAAAAAATCAGTTAACTGTGTTAATTATAAAATTTAAAAATATACTTTGCTCTAAATTTATATTCACCTGTAATACACAAAACGGTTAACTTTTTTGGGGGTCACTGAATGTTTTCTTGATGTCAGAAATTTTTCCTTTTCATTTTTTTCTTTTTGTAAAAGGTCTTGTCTTGTTTTTAAATGATTTCAGCAGTTATATCGATTTGTTTAGATATCATTTCGAAATGTACTCAATAGCATCTTTCTAGTTGACAAGAAATATCAAAAGTTTCAAAAATTAGTGGATAAAAAATTATATGTTATTTCTTTGTAAACAGTTCGCTTAAAGTATTGAATGACAGTAGGAAAGTTTTGTAAACTTTCTAAACGTCCATCACGTGTCATATTAAACTTAAAATAAATAAATGATGATAATTTAAAATTTCAAGTAGAAATAATCGCGCAAATCAAACGTCTGAACAACGACCACTGACGGAAACATAATCTCCAAATAAAGGCCATTCGTTATTTCTTATGCAGTTTTGTTGGCTGCTATTTACAGGTGAGCCGTTATTGCAGATTCGACTGTACATAAAAATTTTCTTCCAGTCTTATTATCTTAGAAAATTACTATATCAAAACGGATAATTATTTAAAAGTATTTTTATATATCATTTCTAAAACAATTTTTATTGAATTTTATGGTTAATGCATGCTCTTGTAACGAAATTATTGTATTAAAAATATTTATGGCCAAAATTGTTAATGTTAATTTTTACACCAGAACAGAGTGAACATTGACAGCATGTATTCGATAACTGGAATTTTACTTAATTGTAGAGTTTAGATTTTACGAGGCCTTAACGTACCATTAAATGTCCACACGTACTGTACAGGTTGATCCACTTTGCCCTCAACTTCAATCTCAACGTTTGACACCACGCTTTGATGAATTTCGCACTCAATAGATAACTCGAGTTTTTACAAAATCTTTGAATTGATTTGGTACACTTTATCCTCTTTTCATAGCCACAAAAAGAAGTTCGCAGAATATGCAGACTAGTCAAAAGCTCTTCAATACGTTGTAATATAAATGGCTTCAAATGCTGTTCTGAATGGTATTTGGGTAAGGTTATTATAAATGAAGAACGAAATATACAAAAGCATTAAGCTTGGTCATTCCATATTTGTCAAGTCAATCTGATTCCAACGTAGAAAATCTAATTGATTGGGTTTGATGGTATACGACAACTCAACACATTGGCGATCTGCCAAGGGAGATACTATCCAAAAGAACTTTCCGTGAGAAATTGGCCTCTATTTAGGTGTTAGACACGCGAATAAAATCCGGAAAACTCGTATGTGGTCAATCCGTTGATGAGGCGCGAACCCGCGACCTGTGTTTGGTGGTTTTATTCACTCGGCCACTGGTAGGTGCCCCAACATAGAAAATTTAGATATGAAATAAATATATTCAGAAATGCATAATGCATAATTTACCAGATATGGTCTATTGTAATATATTTCTCGGCTCGGAATTCTAATTTTGGTATGTGGCATATAATGATAAATTGGAGCATGGTAGATATACACGCAGCTAGATACAGCTTGTTAATTTATGATTTAATATAATTTGTTTTTCAAAATTAATTTAATTCTATTTTAAAAAAAAACTAATAAAAATATTTCTACCTACAAGAATGGAAAATAAAAAAAAATAATATATTAAGTAAATTAAAAATTCAAACTAAAATAAATTTGTTATGATAACACGAGATACGCGAGTTTGAAGCTATTTGTTTTCCACTCGAAATAATAATAAATGGTAAACATTTTTATAATTTAAAAAATTTTAGATAGTATTTTTCCTTTTATTTAAAAGAAAAATTTGTTTTACTTGTAAACTAATAACATTGTTTTGTCTTTTCAATATCTTATAATGAAAATTCTATGATTTGTCTATTATATAATTTAAAAATTAAATTTCATAAATTACAAAAATAAATTACGAATTTTTTTGAAAAATGTGACAAAGAAAGCGGTCATGTTTAAAGAAACTAAAATATTTATAATCTGAATTTGCAGGTATCAAAATAACATTATACAATTTTAAGTATCATTCTACATTTATAATGTCTTGAAAGAAAGTTCTAAATGATCAAAGATGGTTGAAAATTGTTTATTAATTAAAATAGTATTTGAACTATATTTTAGGCAAAACATCATTCAAATATAAAAGTATATTCACAGAAATGTCAGTTTTTCAATAAAGGAGTGGCATTTATGTAATTGATTCTCTTTCGAAACAACCCTTTACATCTTTACTGATTATTAAAATAACAGGACAGCCCAAAAATTATTTATTCGACTTGTATTTTAAGGTTGTTTTTAACACAGTTGAAACTGATTTGGATATGCTGCGCGTAGTTATTCGTGATTCAGTCGCTTCGGTTAACTGACTTTTGGCCATCTTTATGGGATTTTGGGCACTGATATTCCTAACCGACCTTGGGCCTCAAGTCAGCTAACAGAGAATATTTTTTCATAGGAATTTTATTATACTTTTTATCCATAATGTTAATTTGAGGATAAAAAGTATTATGTTTATTTTAATGAATTAAAACATCACTATTATTTTAATTAAATATGCATATTTTTTTCTTTCCAGTTTCATCGTTATCAGCTGGATTAAATTAAGACCAAAAAATGGAGATGAACCAACACCATAAATCGGATGATTACGTCGTTGAAGAAATGGAAAATAAAAAAGATTCGGAAGAGGAACCAACCGAAGATGCGCCTCTGAAAGGTGATTATGTAACCGGAAGTGGTGGTACGGATCTCAAAGAAAATGATACAAATTTGCCACCTGCAACAGTCACCGTCAAAGACTGTAGAGCCAAAGGTTTTCGCGGATGGTTAGCCAAGCCACGTGTTATGTGGTGCATTGCCGTCATCGTAGCCATCTTTCTGCTCTCTGTGGTGCTAGTAGCCACACTTCTGGCTGTAGAATACGAAGAGGATGTCTACGAAGACCCCGTGCCCAGATTCCTTTACATGTGGCCTCGTCCCAATCGCAGAAACAATATATTAGCATTCAGACACGGATCGCTCCCTTACGAAGGGAAACATTGGCCGAAACTGACGAGCCAACTCGATAGACTCTGGAACAATTACGAAAGTGTAGATCGAAGTAACGTCACCGAGTGTTACAACATACCAACATCCGAGGATACAGTTTGTTATTTTGATATCCGCACCATTGCCATCGAGTGCAACAAACTCACCCATTACGGTTACGAAGAAGGTAAGCCCTGCATCTTGTTTCAGTTCTCTAATGTCACCGATTGGAAACCCGAATCCTATAGCACTCGCGATCTTGAATCTTCTGAACTTGAACTTCCCAATGATTTGCGTTATCAATATAAACCATATGTTGTCTTTCTGGACTGTCAAGGTGATTCGATTGTCGACCAGGAAAACATGGGTCCAGTTCAATATTCGCCCGAAAGAGGTTTTCATACCAAGTATTTTCCCTACAAAGAACAACCAAATTACATGCCACCGTTGGTTGCAGTCAGGTTTCAAGATCCAGCAGTTGGAGTTGCAATCAGCGTAACGTGCAAATTGTGGGCGAAGAATATAAATCACACAGAAGAAGCCCTGCCTAAAGGAAGTATATCTTTCAGCCTGCTGGTGGACTGAATAGTGAGATATGTGCCAAAAATGGACTGAACCCCCATAAGAAATTTCATCTTTCATACGAATCCTAGGTTTTGTGATTCCCTTTTGATCAATTTATTTTGATCCTGTCGTACTTTCTTCTATAGCGACATCACCTCTTAGTACAAAGCCGATCGCATCTTTAGCCCATTAGAGCCTTCTCTTGAAAAGGGTGCCGCTTTCAAACTAATGGTGTTTATATTTTTGACGCATTTAAGCTCCTTTCCAAGCTCCAAAGTGTGGATGTCGCTTTCTCTTTCTGAAACCACGAAGAAAGAGATATATATATTTTGATTTTTTCTTTTTCTCTTATACTAGTCCTTGGGGATCGGTCGGTATGCAACGAATTATGGGACCCACATTCAGCATGTCACGTGTTATACAAATGTTTGACAAGTTAAGTATCATCAAATGGAGAAATTCAAATTATTCCGTGAAAAGGACAGGAAAATTGTTCATTTCTTTTGTCTTTCGACAAAGAAAATTACCGATTTGCGTGCTTAGTAGCATTATTTTATCTTCTCTTTAAATTTCAATAAGTTAAAGAAAATGACTCGAAAGAGGATTATTCTCAAAAAAATTAATTTTTTAGTTTCGTCTTTAAACAATTCTTCCAAAAATAAAAAAAATGCAATGGAATTAAAGATTTTATAACGAAAATAAATAAATAAAAGGCTCGAAACAAGCGTTCTAAAATATTTGTTAAAAACTTTAAGTGTTTATTTGCTAGTTTATTATTAAGCCAATACTCGAAATTACTATCATATTAATTTTTAAAATGTTTAACTTCTTTATTAATTCAGTTTTTAGAGTGTTGAAGATCTATTGAGGAATAGAGGATTTATCTAAAATATGCCTTCATGTGTAAAAGAAACCCTTAAATTATTAAAGATTTTCGCTCAGTATCAATGAAAAGAAGATTCTTATTAAAAAAATTTACAAAGATCTTTTATAGTTTACATCATCATTTTAAGATTCTCTTCACTCTTCATTTCGAATTTCTAAATATCAATATCTTAATTTTTCTGATATGAACCAAACTATCACATAACACTATAAAAAAGACAGCATCATGGCATCTATTTTTAACTTGAATTCTNTTTTATAGTTTACATCATCATTTTAAGAATCTCTTCACTCTTCATTTCAAATTTCTAAATATCAATATCTTAATTTTTCTGATATGAACCAAACTATCACATAACACTATAAAAAAGACAGCATCATGGCATCTATTTTTAACTTGAATTCTTATATATAAAAAAAAAATATATAAAAATTCCGCCATCGCACTACACAGTCTTTTACCATTCATCATTCTGAAATCATATAAATTTTTACTATCAACAAAGACGTTGTGTCATATGTCGTCTATCTTATTATTCTGATATCCCTTACATTCTTTACTATCAATAACATTTTGCTTTTACTTTCTGAAAGATTTTTGTAACACTCAAAAGTCCTCCAAACTATTATTCTGAGGTCCTATACACCTGCATCTCATGGATCTTCAAGACTCTAATCGTTATACAAGAATTAATGCTTATGCTATTTTCTCTTTCTACACTTTATCCTTGGAAAGGGAATAAAGTTTAGACAATTTGAAACGATTTATCTTTAAAAGTAAATCATTTTTATGCCCTATAACCAGAGGGGAAGAAACATTATTTATTATTATTTTATTATTTTGCTTCGAATCGATATTAGTGAAAAAAGGCAAACTGTTCTCGAGTATATTAAAGATCAAGCTGGAAAAAATTGTAAAATTTTATTTATATAAAGTCAAAGATTATTGGAATGTCAAATGGTAAAACAAGAGTTATGGTAGATTTCGATAAGGAAAGAAACAGAAATTATGGCAAGAAAAAGGAAAACAATTGGATAGTTTACCCCGTATTGTTGTTATTTTTTTCTTCTATATAAATCAGTTTTATCGTGTACTATGTTGCATCGCGTCAATATGTCAGAAGCAAACTGATATAAACTGATGAATGCACCAAAATATTAAACGGCTTTTAAGATCCCTTGTAAAAAAGTTATATGAATGACATTTAAAAAAAAAACTTCAATAATGTCATTCGATCAATGGAAAATGGCTTGTAATATACATTAATGTGTAAATTTACGTAAGAGCTTTTGAAAGATCTCAAGGGACGTTTTCAAAGAAAGTTTGCAAAGAGGAAAACTGTCGTTTTTTTCAAAACTTTTTGGGAAAAAATGTTTTTGGACCTTCTAAAGGCTCCAAAACACATAAAATATAAATAAAATGGTTAAAAATTTGAAATAACATCTTCTAAGACTCAAAAGAGCTGTTTAAAAGTTACGAATTACCTAAATCATTTTCTAAATGATTTTTAAAATTCTTTGAAACAAATTACATTAGAAATTTCATTTCGTACCGTTTTACGATAATGTCAATATGATCTTTCAAAGATAATGTTGATAATTCGTTAAGATTGAAAGCAGAAATTGTTGGAAGTTACTCCCTACATAACACCGAAATGTTTCCTTGAGAGTTCGAAAATTTATTCAAGAACTCAATTATGAATAATTTCTTTATGGGAGACTTGTTTGAAGAAAAGTTTTCGTGGAAAAAAAGAAATTATCTACAAGATATATTCTGGAGAAACTGTAACAATTTAACTTAGTAATTCGATACGCGAACATCAAAAAAAATGAAAGTTTTGAAATTCAAATTGTTTAATGTTTATAGTTAGAAAAAAACAACACGGATGAGAGAGAAAATTGGAAATAATATTGTTAACAGGAAAAAGTATTGTTATGAGATCTTGAAGAGTTTAATTTCTTGATTTTAAAACACTTATTCTGTAGACCTAATGTGTTCAGAGGAAGAAAAACAAAGTGGAATTTTGTGTAAATCTCTATATCCCAATTTGTGACGTCATTTCGTTTAAATGTAATAAACTATATATTATATTAATACTTTCGTCATTTTTATTTATTTATTTTTTCGTTTGCCTGTCAATTTTCCAGTCCTCATAAGTTAATCTGCATTTACTGGTTCGCGCGGAAAGCACGAAATTCTTTACACATTTCCCCAAGAGCTTTACTCTCAATTTCAAAGTTTTATTTCATTTTCTCAATTATTTATATTGATATCCTTTACTGTTTTGTAATTAGTACTATCGTTGTTAATTTCAAGACACTGTAGAGCATGACATTTTACATGCTATAGACTATCTCCTGATCAAATCCCCTACACTTACAAGCTCTAATTGTTTTTATGGCATAGAAAACAGCATTATTGCATACGAAAGGAGTAAATTAATTGAATAAGATATTTATTATTCCGAACGAATATTGGGCGGCTCTTCGGGAATTACTTCAAATTTTAATTTTTGTTATTAGTGAATTAATATGCTTAATTGTTTGAGACACTGCTAAGAAAATCATTAATGAGATGGGCGTGTCATTCATTCTCTTCAAAAGCTTACTCAAGAATATCTTTCTCTCATTAAATTCTAATTAAATATTGTATGATACGCTCATTTGACACTATAATTGAAAAATAACAGAAGTTTATGGAATAAAGACAATTAAGATGTCTATAAATTTATAAACATATATAAACTAATTAAAAGTGAAAGCTTAAAGACGAAAGAATAGGAAAAAAATAGGATACGAGTTCCTTCCTTCATTTCATTCGTGATATTGATAAAGAGAAAAGGTAAAAAATAAAGAAAGCTGCCCTTTTTTCTTTTCTTTTTAGTCTTCTTTTAAGTAATTCTTAAAATAGTCGATGCAAACTGAACTCAGTATAAAACGCGTTTAAAAAGTTTCTCATCGATTGGAAATCCGGACTCTCTTCATTTTGTTTCCTATCTTATACATTACGGATCAATAAGCAGAAGAAAATTTCATTTCGAAATGAAAAATCGTCTCCTGTAGGTAATAACTTCGGATGGGGTTGTGTCAATTAGATTTGTATTTCAATAAATTTCTTCGCTTCAAGCTGATTCCTTTCTTTTCCTGTTTTTTTCTTTATCACATTCTTTTCTTTACCGTCTTCAATGGGGGAATGCTGTCCCTAAAAAACAATGTCTTTCTGTAATTAATAGTATTGTCGGACTTCTGTTTTATTATTAAATATATTTATTAATTTATTTCTATCCGATTGAACTCTGACATAAGATAGAATAGTTGTTGTTTTACCTTCCGGTCATGACATTTTATTTGTACTCATTCATCTACTACGGAGGAGGCGGATCTCGATAGTCTAGTAAATAAAAATTCAATGCTTAATACGAGTGAATAGTTTTTAAGAGTGTAGAGTTCGTTTAATATCTTAGATAGAGCCTCTAGCAAATTTCACAAAATTACATTTTAATATATAAATTTAGCATCGTATATGCTCTTCTTAGACAGGTTTATCTTGAAGAATTCTCCGGGGTGAACGAATAATTTTTCATACAACTTAGTTACATTTTTCGAGATCTTTCTTCAAAAATTGAGTGTCCTATCACTTTGAAAACTATCAGATTTCATAACTGTCTTATATTTCTTTTCTCTTTCTAAAAATCTAGTGTAACGTAATATAGATTTACGATTTTATATCAGCTTTAGTGTACCTTTTTCTTTAGTTTGCTGGTGTCAATTGGTGGATCGAAATCTTAAAAATTCTAATCTGGAATTCTCCATGTAAAACGATGAAAATTTTTTTGTTTTCTTAGAAGTTTATCCACTAAGTTCAGTATTCTTTAATATTGTTTTGTCTTCTTTATCTTTCGCCATAAGCAGCTTTTGCTGTAGCTTTTTCGTCATCAATTAGGTTAAAATTCGTATATTTGACTTTCAAATTTATTGAAATCTTTCAACATATAGAAACTCTCTTCAAATTTTTGAAACAAATCAATAGAAGAGATTGATTTCAAAGAAAGCGAGAGGTTATTTACGGCTCTCTCGCTAATGAATGAGTATAGGAATTCTTTCTTAATCAATAAAGAGTAGTTCGGAGGTTTCTATTCATTTAGTGCTTCTTCGTGTGAAAACAAGGATTGCTTTTTTTCTTTTTGTTCCACAGTAATAGAATCCAATGCAACAAAAATCTTTAGTTTCATTATTATAACAATTACACATTTGATGAATTAATTACCACGTTTAGTTGAGAAACAGAAGTTTAAAATCTTTATGTTAAAAATATTATCCTTCGACAAAACCTATGAATGACTCTCTATTGCATAGAATTTTTACTCAGAGATTTTAGTGTCTTATTTAAATAATTTAATGCAAAATATATTACAATTACTTTAATCAAGATTACAGAAATCAAAAATTTCTGAGATTTTAGACACTTCCGAGCAGTAATTACCATTCTCAGAGGCACAAAATGATAAAAAAAAAAAAACATGGTTGTATGGTTGAAGAATTAGCCTAGCACTCTGGGGACTCGGGTTCAAGTCCGGTTCAGAAACCTCAGAAATGTTTTTGGAGAGATCATGTTCCGGATGTATCGGATTCTGCCTCTCCTTAGTGGGTTTGGCTGAACTCATAATGGATATGATAAAGAAAAGGAAGCCCCTTTTGTACCCTCAGAGCGAAGAGTAAAAAAGAAAAAAGCAATAAATACTCGTGAAGAAATGTATGGAATTTAAGTATATTAAGCCTTCATTTTGTATAAAGTTCCTTATTTTATTTATAAAAATTTCGAGTAGAGAAAAATTTACGTTTCGTTAAATCCTCACTCCATTGAAAAGTATTACAGCACACAGCGCTTTAAAATCAATACGCGCTTTCGAATTAATATATTTTTTCATATTAGCAATTTTATTGTTTTAGAAGAAGAAGAAAATATAAATTATGAGCAGGAAAAACGATGTCATTCTTTGGCTCCAAATAGTCAATTCCAATCGCTTCCTTGATTGCAGTTACACGAATCAATAAACAAAATTCGAGCTAAAGTAGCACTTAACCGAATCTGGTAAAGGCATCATCAACATATTCAATAAAAGGTTAATTCTGATTGATGTTATAATATTATCCAACAAGCCACACACACACACAAATTGATTCTTTCATATTTGAATCCATTTTCAACGACATGAATGACATTTATTGTTTCTTTTGGAATAAAGTAGAAATAAATTCTT